ATCCTCGAGCCTTTCTCATTTGACAACCATGTTACAAGCCTTTACCCGTTTGATCGTGACCCTCTCTTGGCACCCCGAGCTTTCCTTAACACTCTTGTGAAATAATTGGCTAAAAACGTAAGTTTGTGAGAGAGGCGAGGAGCTTGAAAAAGGCATCAAGGCACAAAAAGAGAAAAGAAATGATGAGAAGAAAAGGCAAGAAAAGAAAAGAGCAAAAAGAAAAATACAAAATAGTGAATAAGTGGAAGAGTTGAAGGGATTCAAAGAGAGGTAATGACCCCAAGCGTGAAGAAATCAAAAAGGGAGAAAATAAAGGTAATGATCAAGAAAGAGTGATGTAAAGTCTCTATAGTTCCCTAAGGAAAAGAAAATACCTCAAAGAATTGGCAAAGTGTGAGCCGAGAAATGAAAAATGGAGTGCTTAAGGAAAGGTGCAACCACTCATCTATATTGTATCCAACCCTAATCCAAAAGCCTTCATTACATCTTGAAAGAAGTCCTATTTGATTTTAAGCCGAGTGAGCTTACATTAGTGGCGATCTTCATGAGGGGCAATCCTATGGTACTTGAAGCCGTACTTGCGACATTCTCTTGAGAGAGATTAGTGAACCTTTCATAAATCTTTGGATTGAGTGCTAAAATTCTTAACTGAGTCAGGCAACCAGAAAGTATAGGAGGAAGAGTTTGGAGTCCACCATGACCTACATGATAGAGAAAGAGTACTTGATGAGTAAAGTCAACATTTGAGGCTCAAATTTCACTTTAGAACTATATATGCAAAAAGGTTTAACTTGTCACCTTGTTGATAATACATGGGTAGTGTGGATAATTGTTGGTCCCAACGGATGTGTGGATGGCTCACCTTTAACTCGCTGAAATGACCCTTAACTTTTGGAGGTGGGAAATAATTTATTTACCTGAGGACAAGCAAATATTTAAGTTTGGGGAAGTTGATAAGTGGGGATTTTGACTACTTATTAGCAACTTTTTAGCTTTTGTTTTAGTCTAAAAGCATTGAATTTTATTTCCGAAACTATTGAAATTGTGCAAAATTGGAGGAATGCTAGAAGCTGGGCTCCCAAGATGAAATCCGACTCAAAAAGGAGCAATCCAAGCACAAGGCAATAAAGGGCACACAAGCACACAATGTGCGGTCCACAGAAGGAATTCTGCGGCTGCAAACAAAGAAGAAATATTTAGCAGGCATTTGTGCAAATTGCGGACCGCACATGAATTATGCAGCCACAAAGCTAGGCTAAGAGTCGAAGATCAGAGGGTATGCAAAAATACCAAGTCCAGAGCCTCAGTGAATTGCGGACCGCACAAGATTTGTGTGGTCGCAGAAGATTGCCTTGCAGCCGCAATCCTAATAATGCGGACCGTAGAAGAGCTGTCTTCCGGCTGTAGTCCAAAAATATGCGGCCACAGAAGAATGCCTTGCGGCCGCAGTGCAGAAATGTGCGGCCACAGAACTCTAGTTCCTGCCAAGATGAAGAAATATGCGGACCGTACATGGAATTGTGCGGTCCCAGAACCTCCCGAGGGGTATTTTTATCCGAGATTTTTAGCCTTGTATAAATAGACGAGTTTCACAAAATTAGGTTATGTTTGAACCTCTGCAAATTACTGTAGCCATTTTTCTTTGCCATTTTTGGAAGTTTACTTTGCTTTTGTGTATTTTACAATAGATTTAATCATTTTAAGTTTTCATTATAAGTTTAATTAGTCTTTCTTCTCTATTTTATTCAAACCCAAGTATGAGTAGCTAGATTTTTACTAGGGTTGTGACCTAACCCTAGTGTGTAATCTTATAGGTATCTAATTTAGTGCTTGTTTATGATTGGGTATTTATTATTTAGCTTAGTTCATGCCTTAATTGTGGAATTAATAGTTGCAAATATTAGTTCATGCCTATTTGACTTAGTCTCTACTTGAGAAAGAGAGACTTAGTCTAGGACAACTTAGCTAACAAGGAATTGGGTCAATCAAGAGATTGATTAACCCAATTAAAATGTTCAACCTAGAGATAGTAATAACCCGACTTGAGCTTTTATTAACTATTTTGTGTGATACCCATTTGGTCTTGAGAAAGCCAAACTGGATAAAACCACTCTCTGACCGAGAGGTATTGAGTGGGTAATTTAGAGTTGATAGCTATAATACACCCCAATCAATAAAACATGCATTAAAGTCTTTATCCCAACACGCAAAGACCTAGGTAATGGTCACAGCCCTAGGCTTTATATCAATTTGGAAAAACCTCAGAAGCAATTATCTCTAGTCTTCTTTCTTTATTTTGCAATCTTTATAGTAAAATTAGATTTAGAAAATAAATCTTTGTGTGGAAGTGCAATCTAGATAATTCAATCACTCATATTGAAATATATACCCTTAACTCCCATCTTAGCTCCCTATGGATTCAACCCCGACTCTTAGTTGGGTTTCTATTATTGCAAACGACCATTTCATACCTCTTTTGAGGTGTTCATTTGGATGCGATCAACTACTACCAGAGAAACAAGCTCGGTTCCTAGAATGTTGGCTTGTGGAAGCTCGATATACCCTAGTAGACCGCATTGAAGGTCTAGGAGGACTTGTAGTTGTTAGGCTGGAGGGTGATGTTATTGTATGAGTGGTGTAATAAATGTTAAACGATATATATGCATGTTGATTGTTAAGTTACATGCCTTTGTCTATTTTGATGAGCCAAAGGACACACTCCCTCCTTGCAAGTCTTTGAGTGAAAGGAAATCATCAATGCTTCCAGTCATATGCTTAGAGCAAAAAGGGATATATTCTGGAAGTAGGAAGAGTTGGGAAAATGCTCACTTATTCAATTGAGAGTGTATACTATGTGAATTTCTTGAAATATAACCTACTGAGTGTCTCTCAAATTTGTGACAAAGGAACAAAGTGGAATTCTTATCAAAGATTTGCATTGTCACAAATCTTGTGACTGGTGAAGTGGTTCTGTTGGCAAAAAGATTCAAAAATATCTATGTTGCTGATTTTGAGTCTTTTCTTACATGTTTGAGTGTTGTTGACGATGATGTTGAGTAGGGGCACAGAAGATTGGGTATGCAAGCTTTTCAATGCTGAACAAGTTGATCAAGAAGGACCTAGTTCGTGGGCTGCCCAAGTCAAGGTTCAAAGATCACAAGGTGTGTGATGCATGTGTAAGAGGAAAGCAAGTCAAGTCCTCCTTCAAGCCCAAAAATGAAGTAAGCACCTCAAGTTCACTTGATCTCCTCCATATGGATCTATGTGGACCTATAAGGGTGCCAAGTAGAGGAGGAAAGAAGTGTATTTTCGTCATAGCTGACGATTACTCCAGATTCACATGGACCTTATTTCTCAGAACCAAAGATGAAACCTTTCCAGTCTTTGTTGCCTTTATGAAGCACATTCATGGCACAAAGTTTGATAATGCAAAATTTGACGAATTCTGTGCTGAAAATGGTATAAGTCACAATATTTCAGCTCCCAGAACACCCCAACAAAATGGTATTGTGGAGAGAAAAAATAGAATTCTTGAAGACATGGCAAGGATTATGCTACTTGACAGTGGCGTAGCAAAAGTTTTTTGGGCAGAGGCAGTCAACACTACTTGCTATTTGGTAAACATGTGCATGATCAGGTCCCTCTTTAAAAAAACTCTGTATGAATTGTTGAACGGGAGGAAGCCCATGCTAACTCACCTAAGAACGTTTGGTTACAAATGCTTTGTTCTCAATAATGGTAAGAAAACGCTGTAAAAATTTGATACCAAAAGTGATGAAGGAATCTTTCTTAGATATTCCTCACAAAGCAAAACATACAAGGTCTACAACAAAAGGACTTAATGTGTTGAAGAAAGCATACATGTAATCTTTGATGAATCGTACCTTTTATGTGGGAAAGATTCACATGATAAGATTGATCAAGATGAAGAGCAGTCAAAGGTTCCAGGAGAAGTTATTGATATGGCAAATGAAAAGGCTGATTTGATGAGTCAAGTTAAGGAATCCAACGAAGAGAATACAACAGAACCTCCAGCTGATACAGAAGAACTTGGTTCCTCCATTACAATAACTGAAGCAGAAGTCAGAGTTATTGATGTCGTGCAAGGAACCCCTAATGCTTAGAAAAGAAGTGGTACTCATCCTTCCATAGATGCCAACAATGGATCCCATTCAGAGGAACCTGGATCTTCACACAATGAGATTCAGGTGTCTAACTAGAAGCACAAAAGTTCACATCCTCTCCAAAACACTCATCTTGATTCAGGAATTCAAACCAGATCAAAGTCAAGAAGCCCGCTTGCCTTCTTAGCTTTTCTTTCTCAAATTGAGCCCAAAAATATCAAGGAGGCACTGAAAGATGCTGACTGTATTATTGCTATACAAGATGAACTCCATCAATTTGAGAGGAACCGTGTATGGCACCTGGTTCCTCGACCCTCAGACAGAACTATTATAGGAACCAGGTGGGTGTTCAGAAACAAGCTTGATGAGTTTGGGAATATAACAAAGAACAAGGCCAGGTTAGTAGTTCAAGGCTACAATCAAGAAGAAAGGATCGAATATGATGAGACCTTTGCCCCAATTGCTCGAATGGAATCCATCAGAATCCTCATTGTTTTTGCATCTCATATGGAATTCAAATTATTCCAAATGTATGTCAAAAGTGTATTTTTGAATGGATATTTAAAGGAAGAAGTCTTCGTCAAACAACCACCTGGTTTTGAGTGTCACGAGCATCCTGAACATGTATTCAAACTTGACAAGGCATTATATAGGCTGAAACAGGCCCCTCGTGCATGGTATGAAAGGTTGTCCAAGTTTCTTCTTGAAAATGGCTTTATAAGAGGAAAAATCGACAACTCCCTATTTTTGAAGAAACAAGGGAGGAACCTGCTCATTGTGCAAGTTTATGTTGACGACATCATCTTTGGTGCAACAAATGATTCCTTGTGAGAGGAGTTTGCAAATCTTATGGGAAGCGGGTTTGAAATAAGCATGATGGGGGAATTGAACTTTTTCTTTGGGTTGCAAGTTAAGCAAACCCCTAAGGGAACGATGATAAGTCAACAAAAGTGCATTAAAGAGATCCTGAAGAGATTTGAGATGGAGAGTTCAAAAACTATTGATACTCTTATCACCGCTGCCATTCATATAGACATGGATGAACCTAATTCTCCAGTGAACGAAACCATGTACAGAGGCATCATTGGTTCACTCTTGTATATCAATGCTAGCAGACATGATATTGTATTTAGTCTGGGACTATGTTCTAGATTTCAATCCAGTCCAAAGGAATCTCATCTGAAAGCTACCAAGAGGATTCTAAGGTATCTCAAAGTAACGCAAGACCTGGTTCTCTACTATCCTTTAGGAGAAAATTTCGATTTAATTAGGTCTGTTGATGTTGATTATGGGGGTTATCTGGTGGATAGAAAGATCACATCTGGCATGGCACACTTTCTGGGGTCATGCTTAATCTCATGGGGTACAAAGAAACAAAACTATATGGCTCTTTCAACTGCAGAAGCTGAATATATGTCAGTTGCCTCTTATTGTGCTCAATTGCTTTGGATCAAGCAATAACTGGAGGACTTTGGTGTGTTTTCAGAGTGTGTGCCACTACTGTGTGATAACACAAGTGCTCTCAACATGGCAAAGAACCCGGTTCAGCATAAGCGAACAAAGAACATTGATGTGCGACATCATTTTCTCAAGGATAATGTTGAAAAGGGCCTCATCTACATGAAGTTCTGCAAAACAGAGGACTAGGTAACATATATCTTCAACAAAGCATTGAGCTAAGAGCACTTTGAAAAGAATCGGTTGGCATTGGGGATGATAAAATCAAACTGAGTACTAGGTCCCTCAATGATTGGCTATGAAAGAATGAACAGGTAAAACTGCTAAAAAGTGTTTTCTGGAAAACTCTAACTCATCTCAATACCGTTACACGAAACACGCATGGGAATTACAGAGTAAACCAATAGTCAATAACCTTGCATCTTGGTAAAAGGATGAAGCTCACATTTACAAAACTCAGTCAGGGAACCTGGTTCCTTTGACTCAGGTTAGTAGCTCCTTTTACACTCATGTACACTTTAAACGGCTATAAAAGTGCCACATCATTAAATGTTTCCGTCTCTCTCTCTCATCTGTTTTAAAACCCAAACGTCACACCCGTTACAAACCGACCCGTCTACCCAGTATGTTACACCCATTTGTAACCAGTCCCTCACTCCCTCTAAATAACCCCAAAAGACGTCTCTTTCCCAACTATCCACATCAAAGCCACAAAATTCTCTTCTGTTTCAAAAGCAAACCCTCTCTTTCGCGTGTCTCTACTTCCAAACTTCATTATGTCTGAGAATCCAGAGCTTTCAAGCACTACCAGTGTCTCTACTTGCAAAGGTTTATCATTCCCCCACGGAAGACTTTGGGGGAATAGAGATTCATCACATGAGCTAAGATTAGCTCCTCTCTAGTTTCTTGGCACAAGCGTCGGAGGCAGGCGATCATCCTCCACACTGAAGGACTTACCTATGCCAAACATATCTGGTAGCGAAGGCAAAACTCATTGCAGCGACAGTCCTCCTTCACATCGGGAATACTGGAAGGACGAATGGAAGAAGGGTACCTACTAACAACCCATGTACGAGGGTTAGCAGTAGGAAATTTCTCTTCAAAATCCTTTGAAGTACTAAGCCTTCTTGGGATGATGGAATCCACTGTTGGAGGAACGAAATCCTCGATTTTGTTCTTATTCTTGGTAGAACCACCATGTTTGGAGGAATAATCCATTGGAAAATAAGAAGGTAAAGAGTTTGTGTTTGAAGAAAATTAGAAAAGGGATGTAAAACAAGGATGCGAATCAGAAGCTTGACAATTGTGAAACGCAAAGGAAAAGAAAGTTGCGTATAAATAAAATTTTGGCGGCTAAATTCATGGCCATGATTACCTCGATAATCAGCAAAAGTTGTATTAAATCATGGGATGACGCGTGTTCGGAAAATTAAATGCGGAGAGACGTGCATCTAATCAACTATCAAATACCTTTAGAGGGAATTATAGTAATTCGTGCCAAAAAGGTGTTTCTACCAACTTACCGGCAACACAAAGTTATGTCACCGGAAAGCAGGGAGACTATCTGTGTAGAGTAAAATATGATATTACACGTGGCTGACTAAAAGGAGGACACGTGGAATCTAAGGCCGAATCGGATCTCATTTGCTAAGATACAAACATCACATTTTCACTGAGATTCTGGTCAACACTTTTCCACTAAATCCGAGAATAACTCAAATATTCAAGGGATTGTCTATCATTCATCATTATCAGAAAGAACATCTCCTCATTCTATCCTTTCTTGGGTGACACATTCATTTTATTTACTTAAATGTCATTTATTGTTGTTTATTATTATTAAATGCTACGTTGTTATTTCTGATTTGTGGAATATTCAATACATACCACTGCCACTATCCGACCATACTTTCACAGTATTTATTGCTCCTTTAAAAGCCCCATCTAAGGATATTAGTGTTAGCTAAGATTAACCCCTATTTACATAAATTTAATTATTTGAACCAAGATCTATATTTTTTAGTCAAACAATTTGGCGTCGTCTGTGGGAATTTCTTAGTTAAATTTTTAGTTTCCTCTAGATATACAATTAACGTAGGTCACTAACGTCAACAAATCCCGAGATCTCCTTTATTTGTGTGTACAAAACCCTACATGGTAGGTAACCAAGAAAAAATGACGAGAACAACAGGTGGATTCCCAACCATTCTGATGAATGTCATCAACGAAAGCTATGAAACAGTAGGTGAGGACACGACTCCCAATGCATCCCCTAGGTGAGAGAAGTCACCGCCTCCTCACTGCAGCATAACAAAACCTAGCGGTAAAGGGGCCTCCACGTCTACAGAGGAAGGGACGCCCCCAGCTGTGAAGAAGCTCCTCGAGGCATGGCTAACCGACACGCTAGTAAGCGTCCTCAGCAAACCCGCCTCAGGCGTGACTTCAAAAATAGCAAGGGCTTGCACGATACAACAAACAGACGAGCAATGCAACCAACCCCTCCTTCCAATGACAGGTATTACTCACAATGTCACTGAAAGTGTATGTGACAATGCCCTCGGTACCATTCTAAAAATGATGGAAGAAATGGAGAATGAAAACAAGGCGCTCCGAGATCAGATGAAAGAATACCAAGAGTGGGTTGACAAGATACTCGGCGCTCCTAAGCTGCTGCCGAAAAAGGACGTTGGCCGGTTCGTAGAGCAGCTATACAACGATGATGCAGCCCCGCATGCCATACCAAGACCTTCAAAATGCCACCCTACCTCAGGATATACGACGGCACGACCGATCCTGAAGATCATGTGACTCACTACGTCACCGCCGTGAAAGGCAACGATCTTGCCAAGGAACAAGTGTTCTCCATTTTGCTGAAGAAGTTTGGCGAAACCCTCACAAGAGGGGCATTAACATGGTATTCGCAACTACCAGCACGCTCCATAGAAACTTTCGAAGAAATGGCCGACAAGTTCGTAACCGCCCATGCCGGAGCCAAAAGGTCGAGGCGAGAGTGAACGACATATTTTCCATTAAGCAGCCCCTGGGAGAGGGACTAAGGGACTTCCTCGCCCGATTCAACAGAGTAAGGATGACTCTGCCAAATGTATCCGAAGGGATGGCGGTCGTATCTTTTCAGAACGGGCTGAATCGGGAGGCTTCAGGAGCAACTAGAAAACTGTTGAGTCGATTGATGAAATATCCTCCAACCACTTGGGACAAAATCCACAACACTTATTGTGTTGAGGTCCGAGCAGACGAGGACGATCTCAATGGACCAACTCACCGGCTAACCTCGGTACAGGCTGAATCCAAAAAAGAATGAAGAGACAGTACCAGAAGAGATCACCCGATTCCACGGCCTAACAGGGAACGTCACCAACCATATGTCAAGATGGCTGCCGCACCCTCCCTCCACTATGAAGAAGGCCCATCCAGACCAAGGATGGGGACTCATCAGAACAAAAGAGGTATGCCTCCTTTATTATCTGCTCACAATTTTTGTGTATCGCCTACAGAAATAGTCTACGCCCTTGAGAAACTCAGAACAAAAGTGAAGTGGCCGCCAAAGATGAGATCATACCGAGCACCAGAAAGTCTGACGCCCTTTGTGAGTTCCGCGAGGAATGTGGGCACAAAACAAAAGATGGCATCGCCCTCAAACAGGAAGTCGTAAACATGTTATGGTAAGGGCACCTCAAAGAACTTTTAAGCGACAAAGGGAGGACCAACTTCGCTAGAGGACGTGAACATCATGGCCTGCCAAAGCTGCCATCCCCAGCTCGTACCATCAATATGATCATCGACGGCAGTGACGATGCCTCTGTCAGCGGCGCGAAGTTCACCACCACTTACAAACTCAAGCGGTCGATCACTCGCGAACGGTATGACGGACTCGAAGAAAGTATCATTTTCAGTGAGTTAGATGCCGACGGTTTGACTTTCCCTCATAATGATGCCCTTGTTATTACTTTATGCATTTTTGATACCAATGTCAAACGCATCATGGTGGACGATGGAAGTGGTATATGTATTATCCATCCCCGAGTCCTTACCCAAATGAGGCTCGAGGATAAGATAGTGTCGTACTGCACCACGCTAACCGATTTTAATAATGCAGTTGAGCGAACGTCCGGGGAAATTACACTACCCGTCTTGGCCGGCGGCGTAACTCTAGAGACAACATTTCACATCATGGACCAGGCCACTGCATATAATACCATAGTGGGTCGACCGTGGATACATCCCATGAGAGTCGTCACCTCCAGCTTATACCAAGTGATTAAATTCCCAACACCATGGGGATATTCCGTATACACGGAGAACAGTGCACATCCCGGGTATGCTACCGCATTGCCTTAGACAACACGTCCACCCAACAGAGAAAAGACAAAGAAAAAGAGGCATAGAAATCAACAGGGTCAAGGTCAGAGCAAGATGAGACCAAGGACGTCATCAAGGATCCCGACACGGTCGAAGCCACAGGATCGACCATAGAAGACCTCGACCCCGTTAAATTGGACCTCAACAATCATAGCAAGAAGGCCTATATCGGCTGTAAACTCTAGGAACCAGGTAAAGTCTGTCAATTCTTAACAGCTGACACAAATTTATTTGCTTTCAGCCATGCAGATATGCGAGGTATCCCAAAAAAAATCGCCACGCACAAATTAAACATCGACCCATTCCACCCCTAGTGAGACAGGTCAGACGTAAGTTCAACCCCGCTATTAATGACGTAGTCCGCGAGGAGTTGGAAAAACTGTTAGAAAACGGTTCCATCAGGGAGTCGAAGTACCCCAAGTCGGTCGCCAACGTAGTGATGGTCAAAAAGAAAAATGGGATATGGCGAATGTTCGTGGATTTCACAGATTTGAACAAAGCATGTCCGAAGGATTCATTCTCATTACCTCATATCGACCAACTCATCAATGTAACAGTCGGGCATGAGTTGCTAAGTTTCTTAGACGCTTACTCAGGTTATAATCAGATCCTCATGGAAGAAG